CATGCTGAACATTTGGTCGAGCATTTCCAACTTCACGCCGTTAATTGGTGCCTTCATCTCTGATGCCTATATCGGCAAATTCTGGACCATTGCCATCGCCTCCTTTGCTCAATTCCTGGTAAAACTCTTTTTTTTTTTTTTTTTTCTCCCTCCTTTTTTTAAAATAATATTTTAAATTTTAAATTAATAAAATACAATGATTTTTAGTCCAAGAAAAAAACTGGGTTTATTTCAATTCTTTACTTTTCATTTTTTCTACAAAAAAAGAAACTTTTTTCGGTTAATAAATGTACTTTGAATCTTATTTAATTATATAAGTAATAGGACCTGTATTCTAGGCACACTAGAATTCATTCTCCCTCGTCCTATATTATTAGGAATATTACCATTATATTTACGACCGCACAGGTTTAGCTCACTAGTTCAGTATGCAATATTTGAAAGAAGAAATTAAGGTTCGAACATTGACAACGATAGTGGTTGGCAGATCCTTTGTGCGCACCAACATTTAATCGTGGTTGAAAAAATCGAGGAGCGCCTAGGCGCCCGTGTATTTTTTATTTTTATTTTTATTTTTAAAAAAATTGTTTAAATTTTTAAAAATTTTTAAGACTTGCTAATTATAAACTATTTAATACTTCAATAGTTAATACTAGAATATTAAATATTAACCTAAAAAAGGTCTATAGTTTGAACAATTTAGGGCTGTTTTGCTCAAAACGATGTAATTTTGATTGGAATAACTCATTTAAAAAAAAAAATGGAACAATAGTTAATTGGCCGACTAGTCAACCTAGTCGGTACCTAAGCGGCCTAATCTGTGCCTAGGCGACCTAGTCGGTGCCTAGGAGGCCTAGTCGGTCAGTGCCTAGGCGGCCTATACGGCACTTAGGCGCCCTAGTCGGCCAGCCACCTAGACCACCGATTATGGTGATATGCTAGGCGGCCGTCCAGCGCCTAGGTGCTGATTAATCGGTGCCTAGGCAGGATTTTTGCAGCATTGTTAATAACCCATGCATTATCCTAAGAATCATGGCAAAACAACAAATTGTGAATAATATTTAGGTGATTGGTCAAATCTAATGCAGAATTCATGGAATAATGAAGTGTGATTTGTGAATATAGGAATATTAATTACCAAAGAAAGTGGAATACTATGCCCTGTTTGGCAACACAAGTTTTAGGAAATTGTATTTGCAAGTACTTGAGAAATTGATAAATTTTTCCTCTCCACGAAAACCCACTTCTATGGAATACATTTGTCTTTTGTTTCACAACAAGATGAGTTTAACCTGAGTACAAAACACTTAAACAAGCTAAGCAAACAACCATCTATTTATGGTAATAACAAACAACCTTTCTAGTAGCTTATGTTGTTGCTATATATCCTTTGACACTAAGTGAGACTTCACTTTTAACCATGTATAATATCAATAAATTTTACAGTGATGAGTATAAATATATACTTTTGGAGTTATACCAAGTACTGTCAACTCTTGCTTTCATAATATGTACATGATACAACCCACATGTATGTATTTCATCTGTTTCATTCTAAATAGTCACATTACATTCTTTTACAAAAATCACTCATAAAAATGTGTTGTTATATATTATATCGATATCTTTATTAATTAATTTGTAGTAGGGTTGATTGATTAATAGATAGTTAAATACCCAAAAAAATCCAATACAATTATAACTCATCATCATGAAAATTTAGAGGTGATTTTAATATAGAAAATTAACAATTTTTTAAATATAATATTTATTATTTTTAGTTGTCAAATTTGATTGAAATTTGGATTCTTTTACATTTAAGCTTTTGAAAATATATATTAATAGGGATAATTCCCCGGGCATCGTGCCTATACGGTGATCGGTCACGGACCCCAGTACGAGATCGATCCGGTCCGACCATCGCCGACCTCCTTAGCATGCCTTCCCGACCACCTGATGCTCACTGGGTTTCGCTAGGGGAGGGATTCGGAAATGACTCCACAACCTCGGGAGAATCCACCTTTTTAGGTTGGACTGACCATCGCGTGCCTCTTAGCATGACACCGTGCGCTCAGTAACATCATGACACGCGGTCAGGGGCCGTGCATGGTGTCCACGTGCCCAACATGCCGCCGACCCAGAATTTGTCCCCTAGCGACTGCTATAAATACCGCATTTATTGTTGTCAGGGGGACTTTTGGCTATTTCCACATGATAGTTATTAGCTCGGAGACCTCTGACCCATTGTCATGTTGATCGGACTTTATTCCTTAAACCAACAAGCAGATCGGGTTTAGGATCCAAGTTCGGAACCGACCTAGGATCATAGACTGTAGACTATACGCTCCGTATTTACATCATTCATATATGTGTGTATATATATATATATATATATATATATATATATATATATTAAAAGCACATTTATCACAACACAAAATATTAAAAAAAATATATTTCAAAGCATTGGTTCAAATAATCAAATTAGATTATTTGAAGTTTCAAAAATTGGAATTGCATAACCAATGGTCCATTGTTCCATCTCCAAAAGTGGAGCATATTTGCCAACACCCTCTCAGTTGAGTCGGTCCGGTCGCACAAAATTTTTCTTGTACATTTTATTTTTTATATGTAATTTTTAAGCTATTACGGAATAGTATGGATACCCAACACATATATCATTATAATAATTTTAGGTTTTCCTCATCACCTAAATGCATATCATCATCTTAATTTGACAAGGCACACATGACGTATGACACATAAATATATTTCAAAAAATGCCCCATATAATTTATGATTCATTAATTTCATGGCCCCATATTGTTATCTTTTTCACTAAATTGTGGATTTGTCGCTTGAGATGATTTTGTTGGTGTTTGCCATTTTCACACAGGGAATGGTGACGATGACCACCATAGTCTCCCGCCCGGGGATGCTTCCACCGCCATGCACGGTGGGCAGTCCGCAATGCGAGGGCCCGACCCGTTCTCAGCTGGGCTATCTCATAATGGGGATGGGCTTCCTGTCCATCGGCACCGGCGGAATCCGGCCGTGCAGCATCCCGTTCGGCGTGGACCAGTTCGACTCGACGACGCCGGAAGGCCGGAAAGGCATCACCAGCTTCTTCAACTGGTACTACATGTCGATGACGGTGGTGCTCATAATCTGCCTCACGGTGGCGGTTTATATCCAGGAAAACGTGAGCTGGGTGATCGGGTTCGGGATCCCCACCGGGCTCATGGTCATCGGGATCGGGCTGTTCTTTCTCGGCATGCGCCGCTACGTTCGTGTGAAGCCGGAAGGGAGCGTGTTTTCCAGTGTAGCTCGGGTGTTGGTGGCGGCTTATAGGAAGCGCAGAGTTAGGCTCCCGGAGGATGGTGCCGCCGCCGGTGTTTATTATGATCCGCCGCTGCCGCCCGGCTCGACTAAGCTTCCACTCACCAAGGATTACGGGTAATATAATATAATGCTTCTAAACTATATATTATTGATAATATTATATGGAATTGATAGTGTAAATTAGACTAGTATACTAGGGTTGTCTTTACACTACATAGGTGATGCCAAAGGTTCCTGAGCTAGGTAGAGGTATATAAAAATTGTCAAAAGTCTCCCTCATATCGTAATTAATGCAGAATTTATAGTCAGTGGAACACTGGTCCTACAGAAACGGCACGTAGAACACATGTAGAGAGTGAGATTGGCGGCCCAAACTGATCCACACACGTGCTCAAAGCCATGGAGTCCACTATCGTTGTATTCAACTGGTGCTCCAAGTACTTAAGGTTGGGTGCTCAGTCCCGACCTAAAGTGGTCGGGGCAATGCAATCGGCCCTGATCTTCAGTCGGTTAGAGGCGCACTCCCGGCCTGATGTTGAGGTTGGGGAGACGCTTACTCGGGTCGGTCCTGATCGGATCGAGCTCGGCTCAAGTAATGGTTTCGATACGGGTCAGTACAGGCTATGACATGGTTGGGAATAATCCCTATCAATAGGAATATAATAGAAGTGATGGAAAGATGTTATGTTCTTAATTATTTGTTGGTTAGGGTATAGTTGGTTGATTAAGATAGTACTTCGAGACAATTATGCAACTTTATTTAAATACGGAGTCCGGTGTAAGCATAAGCTAGCCAACTAAACGAACTCTTGTAAGGTAAATTGAACTGATTGACCAACTATTGTAAGGTAGGTCGAATTAATTCTACTCCTATAAGTTATATACAAGATAAGTTGAACTAATTGATTGATTCTTGTAATGATTGACAAATAATTGTTGTAAACTAAAAAAGTGGAACCAATTGGCATTATTGTTATTTCGTGTTGTTCAGGTTCTTAAGCAAAGCAGCGGTAGTAATGGACGGAGATGTGACCGGCGACGGAAAATGCAGAAACCGGTGGAGGCTATGCAGCATTCAAGAAACAGAAGAAGTGAAATGCATAGCGCGAGTGATCCCAATCTGGCCGGCCGGAATCGCCTGCTCACTCGCCATAGTCCAGCAGATCACCTTCACAGTCAACCAAGCTCGCCAAATGAACCGCCACCTCGGCCGCCGCTTCCAAATCCCGGCCGGCTCCCTCTTCGTCGTCTCCCTCCTCACCATCTCGCTCTGGCTCCCCTTCTACGACCGCGTCCTCGTCCCGTGGGCCCGGAAGCGCACGCGCATAATCGGCGGCATCACGATTCTCCAGAGGATGGGCATCGGGCTGGGTTTCTCGATTCTCGCCATGGCGGTGGCGGGTTCCGTCGAGATCAAACGACGCGCCGCCGCGAACGGCGGCGCGCCGCCCCTCTCCGTGGCGTGGCTGTTCCCGCAGCTCATGGTGATGGGCTTCGCCGAGGCGTTCAACATCCTCGGACAGATCGAGTTCTACAACAAGGAGTTCCCGGAGAACATGATCAGCATCGGAAACTCCCTGACCTCCGTCACGTGGGGCGTCGCCGGTTACGTGAGCACCATACTGGTCAACACCGTGCACAAGACCACGGGGGTCCACGGCCGGCCGGACTGGCTAAACGACGACATTAACGCCGGCAGGCTGGAAAATTTCTACTTTGTTATCGCCGGCATGGGAGCTGTGAATTTAGTGTACTTTGTGCTCGTTGCTCGGAGATACCGCTACAAGAGCAAAGTGTGGGTTGATGATGATGATGAGAATGGCGATAATGGTGACCTAAAAGTGTAATAATAGTAGTGTGAGTGAATATCCATGCTTTTACTATAAACACATAATAATAAAGAAAAGCATGAAGGTTAGGTTATGAAGAAATCTAGTTATAATTTTGTGATGATTTAGTGACTTAATTGTAACTTTTTAATTTTACAATATTGATTAGATGAGTGATAATATCTGAATTCAAATCTAATGCCCAAAAATGAAATGTGTTTCTAGTTTCTTGCTTTTCTTTTTTGGGTGTGTCTTTAGGATTTCTTGTATTACAATACTAATGTTGGTTTTTGGGTTTTCGAGCCCAAGGAGGTTCAACACAACCTTTGGTTGATGGATTTACCTTTCTCAAAAAGTGATCGCAAAGATGGATAATCAAGTCTCTAAGGGGGTGTATTCAATCATGACTTTCATAGAGTTTTAAAGACTTTTATGAACTTTAAAAGTTTGGAGGTATTCAATTCAAACTTTTAGAGAGTCTTTAAAAGTCAGGCGGTATTCAATCAAGATTTTTAAAGAGTCTTTAAAAGTCGTGTGGTATTCGATTAAGACTTTTAAAGAGTATTTAAAAGTCATGTGGTATTCAAAAAGTTATGAACTTTTGTAAACTTTTTAATTTTAAGACTTTTGTAGACTTTTCCTGGTCTAATATAAATAGTTGAAATCCAACCATCAACCCCAAGATTTCAAAATTTTATTTCTAACAACTTTGAATGTTTTCTCTCTCTCTATTTAAACTTTATTTTTTCCATATTTAAATTTTATAAACCTATCTAAATTCAATAAAATTATTTTTTTCTTCATTATCCTATATTTTCCTCATACCTAAACTCTACCAATTTTTCTCTCTCTCCTAAACTTTACAATCTTTATCTAAAAATTCAAAATAATATTATTTCTATTTCATTATTATTGCTTGTTTATATTGATTTTTATTTTTTATATGAATTTTTTATCCCTAACTTTCTCTAATTCTCCCTAAATACATGAACAAATCAAAATTTTCATCCTCAAATTTTAGTATATGTTTCATAATATTCATATAAATATTTATATATTTTGATTTTTTTATTATGTTTATATTCGTAATATATATATTAACAACATGTTACTACGAATAGCGAACTACTATTCGCAACAACAATTTGGGGTTGCAAACAGTAACACCTTGTTGTTCACAGTCTCAAATTACTATTGCAAATAATAGCTCTTTGCAGGAAGCCTAGCAATATATCAAGTATAATTTTTTATATATATTATTTTTTTGAAAACTTGTATATATATTATTAATATTAGATTTTTATTTTTTTATTTTTTTATTTTTTATTTATGCAACTTGTAATTATATTTTTAAATATTTTATTTGATTAATTCTTTTATTATAAATTTTATTGTTCAATATTGTTATGAATTTCTAATGAAATAGTTTTTTTTGTTGATGTTTATTAATAATATATATAAGTAATTAGCATTTTTTTTTTTGAAGAATAAGTAATTAGCATATAAGTCTCAGCATACTATGGATAAAAATAATAATGTTGAGAATGTTGATATGGGTGAAGAACTATATAATAAGAGCATTCAAAAATAATATAATAAGAAAAATTTTATGATATATTATAAATGTTTTGTAAGAAAATTATAAATGATAAGAATAAAAATCATTGAATGTTTGTAAGGATGTATTCAATTTAGAATTTCAATGACTTTTGTAGACTTTTTAAAATAAAAAGTCGATAAAAGTCTATGAATGTTTTTTATATAGACTTTTATAGAGTCTTATAAAGTTTTAAAAAGTTTTGAACGACTCTATGAAAGTCAATCAAAGTTTATTAAAATCTATCATTTTAAAAGTCTTTAAAACTCTACAAAAGTCATGATTGAATACACCCCCCTAAGTGTGTGTGTTTATTTTTTGGGCATGAACTCCCCCCCCTTTCAAGTGTGGAGGGGGCCTTTATATAGCAGGCTCCCCTCCATACGAATTGAAGTACATTGATTATTGCTTTCAAGGCTATTTACACTACCAGACCGTTCGGTCGCTGTTACCGAGTCGACCAACGGCTCTTTGGCCTCTTAACGACCCCTTTGATCGAATCCTCTTGAATGCCGCATTGAATGTTCCTTCAACGGCTCTTGGACCGACTTGAATGCTTCTTACTGACCTCTGGGCCGAGTCTCCTTCCTTGCTTGGGCCCGGGCCGACCCTGGACTCGGCCCAGGCCCTCATCGGGCTTCTTCTTTTACTGACTCTTATCTTCTATCTTGGGCTTTTTCTCTCTTGGGCCCCTCTCTCGTGGGCCCCTCTTCTTGGGCCGGGATCCTCACCCCATCAACTAAATTACTCATAATTATTTATATATAAAAATCATATACCATTGTATCTACGATATAAATTAGAGTGAGGTAAGAGTTTAAAGTTACATGACTAATATATAGATAAAAAGATGAGGATGTATTGGTTGAGTTAGTACAATGTCATTCCATTAATTTGATGCGGGTCAGAGTTGAAGTAATTATTAAAAACACAAGTAGTAGAAGACTAGCTAATTGGCTAATGACATGACAACTATTGGTAAGTGAACTTGACATGGGGATTCGTAACATGGAGAATGGTGGTTAGTCAATCTATGAGGCAGTCTCATAAGTCAACACATTAGTCTTAGCCTCTATCTATATATTCTGCAACCTTGGAAAGGTTAGACTTCTCCCGACTGACCTATTCAATCATGTAAGTATCTCTAGACTTGTTTTACTAGGTTTTATTGCGCGAATTATTGGGTTAGTTAGATTGTCATATAACCCTATCATGTGTAATAATTAAACTATAATAATGCTATGTTTGGCAGAGCTTATTTAGGAGCTTATAGCTTATTTTAAGCTACTAATAAGCTATAAGCCCTGTTTAGTAAAGTTTCCAAAATAAGCTAGTAGCTTCTTAATTTTTTTTTCATCTTTGTCCTTATTATTTTAAAGAAATGACATTCTTTAACCTTCCCAATTAAAATCATTTTATCTTCTCCTTTATCCGCAACTTTTACCGCAATTATTATTATTATTATTATTATTATTATTATTATTATTATTATTATTATTATTATTATTATTATTATGAGATGAAGGAGATTCACACTAATATTGCTACATCATTATAGGATGCTAGATCATGATTATGCTAATAATTTTATTTTAAAATGTTAATTTTTTTGAAGACAAAAATGTTAAATTTTAATATGTAAAAAAACTAATTTAAATTTTATGAAAATGTCTTTTTTTTGTCTTTTTACATTTATCAGCTTATAAAAAGCTAATTTTACCAAACACTTTTCAGCATAAAAGCTAGTTTAACAGCTATTTAGTTTTCAGCTCCTAACTTATAACTTTTCAGCTTTCAGCTCCTTTTAAACTTTCAGCTAGGTTTGCCAAACATAGCCTAAATAGACTAAGGGTGCGTTTGGAAACCTGGAAAATGGCTTCCGGAAAATGTTTTCCGAGTTTTCAGTGTTTGGCAAGAGGGAGGAAAATGAGGTCAATGGAAAATGAAGCATTAGTCAAAGGAAAATAGATATGTTTTAGGGGAAAATAACTTCCCTTTTTTTTTTGGGAAGTCATTTTCCCAGGGATGCACATGCAAAATTTTTTGAGTCTAATTTTTTGCGGGCTTTTGCGAGTCGGCCCACCAAACCCGAAAGCTATGGTTCGTGCAACTAAAGTCCGTCCCATGCGGGTTGACGGGTCCCCCTTTTTTTGTTTTTTTTTTTAATTTAAAGTTAAAAAAATAAAGTCCTACAAATAATATTAATTTTTTCGTATTAAAAAAAAGTTACATTTTTTTAAATGTTAATATTGTGTGTGTGTGTATCAAAAGAGTGCTATTCACTAAAGAATTTTATCAAAAGTATCAAACAATTAAAATTTTGAGTTATTCAGTCCTTTTCATTTTCTTACTCATTTTCTGAAAAATGAACCAAATACATGAAGACAGTTTTCCGTTGCGTAGCCAAACACCAGAAAGGAAAATGCTTTCTGAAAATGACTCATTTTTCAGAAAACATTTTCCGGAAGTCATTTTCCGAGTTTCCAAATGCACCCTAATTGTGAGTTCTAAGCATTAGAAATGAGTGCATTAAGCATTAGATCTTGTGCATTAAACTCAACCAAGAAAATGTTGATAATAATTAAATTCATGATGTTTTGATAGAATCATACTTTAACCACTTTACAACAGCTTTTGGGTGTTTAAAGAATTCTTTTGCATCTGGTACAAGACAACTTGGCTTAAGGCATTCAACAAATTTCTAATTTGTAGCTAGTCTTGTAATCATTCTTATTTAATTAAAAAAAAAAAAAGTTTTTGCCCTCATGTTTTTCCTTTCTTTATACATTCACATGATGCTAGCGCTTAATTAGTTGATGAGTTATCAAATGCTTTAGCACCAACTTAACCCAAAACATTTATAAAAAAACAATATGCCCACTATGATATAATGTGTCAAAAACTTTATAATCGAGTGATATAAATTTATACCTTTAAATAAAAAAAGTATAAATTTAACTTCGAAAAAATTCAAATATAATTTAACAAATACTACGTAATAATATGCTAACACATTATCTTAATCTGAACAATTAATGAAAATGAGAGTTTAGGAAAAGGGATAATGCCCAAAATAGCTTATTGAATATGTCAGAATTCTTAAATTTGTTCTCGACTATTAATTCATTCAAAATAGTTTTATTTTTATTTTTTATAGAATATTTACTCAATTTAGTCCTTTGTTACTTACATTGAAAGATTAAATATAAATAAATTTACATAGCTACTCCATTCTTACGTGTCATGTTTCGATTTATTCAAAAGAGAGAGAGAGAGAGAGAGAGAGAATTGGTCCACAACTTTTATTACTATCTTCAATAAGAGGTTTATACCATGAGAGTAGTGTCATGTTTGGTTCATGGAATATGTTAAGAATGACATGGAATAACATTTTTTGGAATAGACCTATTCCATTATTTGGTTTGGTCATTTTGTCATGAGAATAACATTCCTTGAAATGAGCTATTACCTTTGCAATGAGAATAGTCATTCCTAAGGGGCATTGGTATTAGTTATTCTCATGCTCTTGGAATAGCTTTTATATCACAAATATAAAATATACCATTTGCACATTATTTAATATTTATATTTAATTAATAAAT